AGTCCCCCGCCTACTGTGCGCTCAGCGGCCCCTACACCTTCCTTCAGGCATGGGCATGTGTGCCCCTGTGATGTTTCACACTTTTGTCAGCCAGAAATAGAGGCCCAGAGAGGGTCAAGGGGACACAGTGCGGTCCTGTTGAGGCTGTGAGCCCAGGTGGCAGAGGGCATTGGCACCTGCTTGGGGAAATCTGACCCGTCCTCGCCTGCAGAGCAGAGTGTCACACAGGAGTCCAGAGTGTGGAGGAAGCTGGAGGGCACCATCTGACCCAGAGCTGGGTCAAGCCCAGGGGCCTCACCTGACAACTGACAGTGACTCCCTTCTTTACAGTGTGGAGGCTGCCAGTGTCGGATTTGTCATTGTCATCGACAGGCGGCGGGACAAGTGGAGCTCTATAAAGGCATCCTTGATGCGAATAGCTGTGAGTATTGTGCGCTGCTGTAATCAAAGTCATTTGAATGGTCTGTCCAACTTTTTCCTGTCAACATTCTGGTGAACTTTATGTCAACTTTTGAGGAGATCTCTGTAGCCAGTGCTGCCACATTGTCACATCCCCTCTGTCACCTGAGGGCGTCCTGCAGGCAGCACCTGAGCAGGTCAGAGGCTCCCTGAATCTCTACCTTCCTGACTTCCCTGCCACCAAAGAGAGCTGGCAGGGGGCGTGGGAAGTCAGTGCCCAGGAATAACCCGCAGCCCACTGGGGGTGGCATGCACACATGTGAGCCTCCGCACCACTCCTAGGCAGTGTGTCAGACACTCAGGGGGCCCAGCCCCTCGTGCCTACAGCTGTCACCCACACTTCTAATATCCTGGCTCTCTGGCTTGCTGTCTATTTGCCTCTCCACTTCCTCTGTCAGGCTCCTTGAAATCTGCTCCCCAACAAACTACTCTTGCCCAAATCCTTGTCTGAATGTTTGCTTTGGAGACAACCTGATTTAATACAGTCCTTATTTCAAGTAACTTTCACATATGAGAAAGATGATGGCAAAATCAGACAAAACACTCCTCAGCAGGCTGCCGGAGGTGCGCTTGCACTTGGCACTCAATAGTGACACCTTGGATGGGCGTCCTTTTCCCTAGTAGTCTGCCTTTGATCACATTTGTTGCCTCTTGGTGAGTAGATGTGCCCCTCCTCTGTTGGGACCTCACACCCAGGAGCTCAGGCATGGGCGAGACAGACACCCCAGACAGGGAGGCACAGGGATGCTGGGTTCTTGTCATAGCGCAGGCCCTTGGGCAGTGAGCACTGGCTGAGGAGGACATGAATGGTAGGGTGGGGTGTAGTATGGGAGCTAGCGTGGGGCAGGGGACACTTGCAGCCCCACTGTGCCCTCTCAGAGCAGCAGCTGTGCTTCCCATGTGTACCCCCAGCTGCTCTCAGACCAATTAAGGTGCATTCAGATGCAGTGTGCCTCGCTGACTCACCCTGTCACAGCCCGGCCAAATGCATGGGTCCTCAGTTTAGGAGACTGCATTTGGAAGATGGGGAGGGGACACTGCTTTCTCTGGCAACATGGATTTTGTTCCTTCAGTTTAGTTTGGGATATAGGACTTTGAGAAAACTACACCCAACTTGTAGCTGGATGTAGCATAGTCGACAAGTTCAAGGCCAGTCTGAACCCTGTCTCAAAAGGTGGAAAGGAAGGGAAGGGGGAAGGGGGGAAAGCAAAAAGAAAAGAAAGAGGAAGAAGAACAAGAGGAGGAGGAAGAGGAGGAGGAGGAGGAGAGGAAGAAGAAGAAGAGAAGGAAGGCAAGAAGGAAAGAAGGAAGAAAGGATTCTTTGCTTACTAGTTTGGGTTTATTTGAACTGTAAAGTGTCCTTCTGCTCTGAAATTCCGTGAAATATGTTTTAAGTCTTTGGCATGCATGGCACCCACCTTAACTTTTTCTCTTGTGATTTTGGCCAAGAGGGGAGCAAAGCAGCCCTCAGTAACAGACGCGACATCTTCTCTCCACCCTGACGCTTTTCACGCAGGTGGCATTTCCGGGAAACCTGCAGCTCATCTTCATCCTCCGCCCAACCCACTTCCTCCAGAGGACATTCATGGACCTCGGCATCAAGTACTATCGAGATGAATTCCGAATGAAGGTGCCGGTAAGCACGGCTCAGTGTCGGCTCACCTTGTGAGGGGGGACTTGGCAGGCGGCAAAGCAGGGGCAAGGCCAGGAGAGAATCTGGGCAAAGGCATGGAGTGGGCACGCATACTTCCTGTGGGCCTGAGGGAGCCCCATATTTGTTGGGGTGCATAATCATTGGAAGGAAAGGCAAGGATCATGCAGTCGGTCCTGGGCTGGAAGGCCACATGCGTGGGTCTTATTCAGTGGCCCCGGGGACTCAGTGCTCGCTTCCAGCGGAGTGACACGGTACAGCAGTACTGACACCATATTAGTGTGAGGAAGGCATCTCCGGCTGTAGAGGGAGAGGGAAGGAGAAAGATTAAAGGCACAGGTGACCAAAAGCATGGCTCTAAAATATGCGTGTCGCGTAAAAATACTGGAGGGCACAAGGATCAGTAGTGTGCTCTTCATAAGACAAAAACAAACTAAAGCTGAAAAATTCAAAATAGAACCTATTGTTTTGGCAAGCAGAGATGGAGATGCGCCCTCGCACTTAGCTGCTAGGACCGGAGGTGGTGGCGAGCAATATGGAAGAGTGATGGGCGCTGTTCCCAGCACAGTGAGTGTGGTGCCCTGACCCCTTGTAGGGCCTCGCCACAGCCACCCCTGCAGACGTGCACAAACACTGATGCTCATTATCAAGTTGTTTGCAGCTGCAGAAGATTGGGAGTGACTCGATGCCTGGCAGTGGGCTTGTTAGGGTCAGGCAGAGCACTCTGCGCAGCCTCAGAGCAGAGACGTACAGCACAGAACACTGGAAATGGTTGCAGGGCTTTAGAAAGTAAATTCACACTCAGCTATGATTCAGCCAAGAAATTAAAACATGCCCTCCACACACAACAGGCAAGTAGAAAAATAACGTGAAGCAATAAAAAGCACTGAAGGCTGATACCCGTAAGACTATGACTGTGTCTCAGAAATATTCTCTTGAGAGACAGAAGCTAGACACTAAAAAAGATACCAAGCTGGGCATGGTGCCGCCTGCCTGTAATCTGAACAAGTAGGGAGGCTGAGGAGGGACACCAGCATGCATTTGAAGTCAGCCTGGCCGCATAGTGAGACCCTGCCTCAAATATATGCCTTTAAGACTCCTTTTACGTAAAGGTCAAGAACAGGCAAAACTAAGCTGTGGTGTTAGGAGTGAAGTGTGCTGGGGCCGAGCGGAAGGAGGCACAGGGCCGTCGGGTGGAGATGGTCCGATACCTGCCGGAGCGCTGCTGCACGTGTATGCCTTTAGCAGAACTGCCTGAAAGCTACCCTTGGAAGCTCTGCGTGTTAGCAGGGTAGATTAGATCTCAACTGAAAATGAGAAGTAGAAAAGATGGGTGATTCCAAAGGATGCAGAATGGAGGTAGCTGAGACGCAGCTCACTGGTACAGCACTTGCCCAGGACGTGGGAGGGGGCAGGTTAGATGCTCAGCAGTGCCCTAAACATGTACCTATGCATGTGCAGCGGTTTGCAGCACCGGGATGGATGGAACTCAGGCCCTTTGCCCCGAGGCATGTGGCAGCCCTTTTTTCTTTTAATTTTGACACAGGGTCTCGAGAGTGCCCAGGCCGAGCCCAACGCTGAGAGCCCCCTGCCTCAGCCCGCCATGCTGGGCTCATGGGCATCTGCCGTACCCCTACACAGTCATACTCATGAACTTTATTGCTTCTGTGATTCTGGGGAAGATGGCTTCATTCTTGTTCATGTGGGGAGCATGGCCAGGATCATATCCTTCACCCAGTGCAGAGTTTGCAAACAGAAGCAGAATTTTGCCAAACTGAAGTATTCCTCTATTTGGGTTTTTAAATGTTTACTTGAAATAATTTGAAACTCAGAGAAAAGTTGCAAGTATAAATATAGCCTAAGAACATCACATGCCTCTGAGCACATCCACTTACCTATTTGGAGCATTTGGCCCCTTTCCTAACTTACCTTTTTTTTTCCTTCTGTATTTTAGGGAAGGGTCTACAGGGTGTTTAGGGTCTCACTACTAGATCGGACTCATAGTGATTCTCCTGTTTACAGCCTCCCAAGAGCTGGGATTACAGGCCATATTACCACACCCAGTCTCAATTGCCATCTCAGCGTGCCCCAGGGGCAGGGCCAGCACAGTAGGCCCAGGGATCGAACCCCAGACCCCCTGTGCCTCTTGCAGGAACTTTAATCTGATGAGCTATTTGGCTGGCCCATCTTTTTTTTTTTTCCCTGTATTTTAGGGAAGGGTCTACAGGGTCCCTAGCTTGTCTATGTATCACGTTTATAGTATGCATCTATGTATGTATGCATACAGACATAAATGTTAGTATTGTAAAATATAAAGAAAGGCTATGGGAATGTTTCAGGTTGGAGAGGATGGAAGAGCAAGCAGTGTCTTTCATGACATCAAAATGTTTGATGAATGTAGTCCCCTGAAAAAATGAAGCATACCTCATTTGGGGCTCCCATGATTTGATCCGGGTTACACAATGCCAGCAGTGGTTTGTGTCCTTGTTAGGGTATCACCCAGGCCCATGGTGCTCAGGCACCCCTCATTGGTGATGTCAACTTTGACCCCCTACTTATGGTACTGTACAGTTTCCCAAAAGTATTATTTCCTCTGCACCTACCACAGTCATGGATCTCTGGAGACATGCGTAAGAGGAGGCAAATGTTCTGCTCCTAAAAAAATAAAAAATAAAAGTAAAACCTTGTGTTTGCTATTCATTGATGATTCCTGCCTGAAGCAGTATTTATTATAGGATGGAAAAATACTGATTTTTAGCCTCAGCACTCCCCCAGCATTACTAATTAGAGGTTGGTATTCTATTATAAGCTAGCGCATAGGTTGTCATTGTAGATTTTTATTTTTTTTAGTAATTTATGCTGTATTACTGTCCTGAATTATTCTGATGCACAAGCTGTCCCAAAGTGGGCCAGTAGGAGCCTTCAAGCCCTTGTATCTGTGTGATTTCTTAGTACTTCCTTGCTTGCTGGCCTAATACGATGATCTAAATGCCCTTTGTCCACACCCAGATGCAGCCTTGGACTCCGCTGTGCAGCTCCACCTCCCCGTGGTGTGGCGCAGAGGTCTTGGAGCCCAAGGCCTAGCTGTGGAGTGTCCTCTCCCACCTGGATGGCTTTGCTTTTAGGCCCTTTCGGCAATAGAAACTGTAAACATATGCACATACGTGTGCACATGTTTGTAATTATGTACAGGCATTATGTGTGTGTATGTGTATGTGTGTACGTGCTGCAGTCAGAGGTTGCCAGAGGGACAATGTAGTACAGGACATATAACTTATAAGAAGTATAATAGTCACCCAAAGAATCATATACAAAGAGTGTAGAAAATCTGTCTACACACTAAAGACCAAAGAATCCAGCTGAGGGCCTGGATCCCACGCAGTGTCCTGCATGAATTCACCTGAAGACCTGGAGCCCATAACAGTGCCCCCGAGTCCAACTGGAGGCTTGAAGCTGACGACGATGTCTCATGAGGCCTGTTTCACACATCTGCACTGGAAAGCCCCAAAGACCTTTAACTTTTGTTCTGGTAGAAGCTAGAAAGTTTGTGCCAGTGGGATGAAGGATCTGTGCTAGCAGGCTGAGGGGTCTGCACTGGAGCTAGGAAGCAACACTCAAAGTAGGAACCAGAGCCTCCCCCACCCCTGAACAGCACCACAGCCATCCTCAGCAACAGTGAGGTCCCGAGCTCCTCCAGCGATGAGGAAAAGTTCCCATCAGGAAAGCCAGTGTGACAAGCTCCTTTAGGGAAACCAACAGCTCCCTACAGCTTCCCTAACAACTTCCAACAGCTTCTCAACTTCTTCATCTCCAGTTCTGCCCCATATGCTGCGGGCAACAACCCTCAGGTGGGCCACCCGCTCCCAGCACCAGGCTGGTTCAGTTGAGCTGGGTGTGACAAGTTGACCACAAGTTGGTAATCCACCACAGTACCTGTATACGCGCAGGAGTATATGTATCTGTTTATACCTTAAATTTCAGCCCACAGAAGATACGCTTTTAAGTGGAGAGAATGGTATATCCAGTAGGTACCAACTGGATAAAGTGAGAGGGACACAGAAATGGTAATCTGTGTACAGATCCTCCCAGGAAGACACAAGATATACGAGAAAGTATGAAAAGTGGTTGCCTCCTGGGTGTAGAACGGGAGGCCTTTGGGCAAGAAAGGGGAGAATTTTTCTATTTAGGCAGCCTGTTTCAGGTTTTTACCGTCTGCACACGGAATCTGTTCAAAACAAACAAAAACCAACTTTAATTAAAATTGCTTTGAAAAAATATTTAACCCATGTCAGTAAAGACCAGCCATTTTAGACAGGGAGTTTTCCTCATTTTTCTCTCTCATTTTTAGGCCTCCCGTCACCCTTTCAGTTCCTTTTCCAGAGTAGTCTTACAGCTAAAGATACTTTTTCCTTATACTTTAGGTAATTGCCAAACTCGGAATGAATTTCCCATTCTGTTTTAATTACTTGCTTTAAAGTACTTGACTGAGTATTTGAGGCAAATATGAGCCATGAATTTCTTACTCAGTTTTCTTGGCTTGAGCAATGATTGACATTTGGAAAACTACGATGACGTCTAAGGAGCCAGTGCCCTGCTGCGCCTGCACGAGCTCTCTTCCCCTTTTGGGAGCGTAGCTGCTCAGTCGTCTCCTGCCTTGCACATGGTTTGGAGTTTGCACTGACCCTGGGCTAAGCGTCAGCATTGCTCCGGCTGTGTGTGCAACGGGCCTTTCTGAGTGACCGGCCACACAGATGCGTCATGACCTATGCCCCACTTTTCATGGGCCGCACCTGCACTGAGGGGGGCTAGGGCGTCTACTTTAGCTGCTTCTATTTCTGGTAGTATATATTGATTCTATATTGATCCTACTTTTAATTTTAAACTTAAGATCAATTTTTTTTATTATTGATTGAGTGGAGTTTTTTTAATGTATTTGATATAGGGTCTCACTACACAACTTGGACTTATAGTGATCCTCCTGTTTG